AAGCAGCCAAACTCGATGAAAGAACTGCGCAGCTTTTGGGGCTTTGTTCATACTTTCGCCGATTCATTCCTGGCTTTGCCAATATTGCATACCCGCTCACGTGTCTGCTTCAGAAATGTGCGCAGTTTGACTGGACCCCGGAATGCGAGTCTGCTTTTTCGGAGTTGAAGTTTCTTTTGACGTCCCATCCGATTCTTCAACACTTCAATCCTCTCGCTCCCACTGAGATTCACACAGACGCCAGCGGTATTGGTGTAGGTGCTGTCCTGGTTCAACGCTTGGATAATCAAGAACACGTCGTAGCGTATATGCAAGTCGCTCGCTCAGCAAGTCCGAGCGTAACTACACTGTCACAGAGCAAGAATGCCTCGCAGTAGTCTTCGCAGTGCAGCGCTTCCGGTCCTACCTGTACGGACGCCCCTTTACCGTCGTGACAGACCATCATTCTCTCTGCTGGTTGGTTAATCTGCGTGACCCATCTGGTCGGCTGGCGCGCTGGGCACTTCGTCTACAAGAATATGACTTCACGGTTTCGTACAAAAGCGGCCGACGTCACGCTGACGCAGATTGTCTTTCGCGACTACCGCTTCCAACGATGGAATGTGACGTGGACACCTTCGATACCTACATTGCATCACTCGACCAACCATTTCCTGATAACAAGACCTTTAAGGATGAGCAACAAAGGGACAGCACCATACAACAGCTTCTTGCTACCAAACCAAAACTGCAGCTGATGTGTCTTCCTTCATGCTACGTTTTGTCATTCTTCGACATGGGCCTCCCAAAATCGTAATCAGTGACCGTGGCCGACAATTCACAGCAGACGTGATGGAAGAGATGCTTGGTGTCTGTGCTTCAAGGTTTCGTCACTCTACGCCATACCATCCCCAAACGAACGGTCTAACTGAACGAACGAACAGAACTCTCACGAACATGCTATGTATGTTGCATCCGATCACAAGGACTGGGACAGCATTCTACCCTTTATCACATATGCATTCAACACCGCTCAGCATGAAACTACCGGCTACAGTCCTTTCTTTCTTCTATATGCTCGACCACCTCGTCATACCCTGAATACAATCTTCCCGTGTTTGGACCATCATAATCCCTGCATATCCGAGTTCATCTGTCGGGCAGAAGAAGCTAGACGCCTTGCTTATTTGCGCACTCTTGCTTCGCAAGACCGCTCGAAGGCACATTTTGACCACCGACGCCGACACGTGACGTACAATCGCGGCGACCTAGTGTTGCTCTGGACACCAACTAGAAAACGCGGTTTGAGCGAGAAACTGCTAGCGCACTATGCGGGACCTTATCTTGTTGTAGACCGTATCAGTGATTTAGTTTACCGCATAGCGCGTCTCCATTCAAACGGCCGACGGTCTGCAAAAACTGAACTTGTCCATGTTGCACGTTTGAAGGGCTTTATTCCTCGAGAGACTGTTTGACTCGCCCAGTGGGCCTCGTCTGCGCGGAGGGAAATGTTACCACATGTGTAATTTAGGTATGTGCACCTGTGTAGCGGGGAACATGGTGGTAGCAGAAGAGGAGGACGTTCAGTTGGTGGCAAAAGCTCGCTGCTGCCCGTTCACTGCGGTATACCGTCGAGTCGACCGTTACGTCTGCTTCGAATAAACCCCTCGTAGACGTAACAATATGTTGATTCTGAAAGGACAATACGGACGTCATTGTTTGATTATTTCTCCTGTTTTCTGGAGGAAATGCGTTCGTCCATTGTCCTCCGCGCCTCTGTATTAGACATATATTCCGTATGTCTCAAGCGTCATGCATTATCGTGAGTGTGCGCAGGGCTTTCCACCAGGAAAAGAAAATCACAGCATGAATGATGATGAGTGGGGTGAAGCGTTCGTCAGTCCGTCCGTGCTTCCGTCCGTCCGTCCGTTCTTGCTTCCGTCCGTCCGCGCGACCATTTGTGCGTCCATCCATGCGTCCGTCCGTGAGTCAGTCCATCCATCTGTCTGTCTGTCTCTTCGTGCGTCCATCCGTCCGTACGTCCGCGCGTCTGTCTATTCGTCCGTTCATCCGCTAGTCTATCTGTCCGTCCGTTCGTCGGTCAATCTAGTGAACACTCCAAGTACCGCCATCTCCCATCTCGCATCATCCAATGTGGCACCTACCCGCTCTAGAGCGGGTATGTGCCACCGGTGGCTACTTATTACTACATACATACAAGGGATGGACACACCCACGCCTTAAGGAGCTTCGCCCCTAAAAGAAGCCCCCCGCCCCCTCTCAGAACCCTCACTCCTTCCAAACTACTGCTCCCCAGGTTGACTGCTACTGCGGCCCTTGGAGTAAGATCGTGGTGCGAAGGCTACCCTTATACTGCACCCTCCTCCCCGCCTCCGACCTTGCGGGCACGCCCAGGTGTGTCTATCCAAGTGATCGCCCATCGAGTGGATCGTTTCTTTGTGCGCATGTATACACGCACACGTACGAACACCTGCACACAATGATATGATGCGTTCGATCTCTCTAATAACATCCTAGCTGCGCTGATGGAGTATCTAGATGAAACCGTATATATACTGAATCCTACAGAAAGTACAGGCACTTTTTGAACAATCCTGTAATGCAAAAAAATTACGCATCATCTGTCCGTTTACCGACTTTGCCCACACCGTTGCACAATTGCGGAATAACGACTTATGCAGTTACTTGTTCGCGGCTGCAGCTCAAGAGAGACAACAAGTAATATACAGGTATTCGCGGGTGAAAGCTATTCCATATACTCCACGTCTTCTCTTCGATATGCACTCCCCGTGCATTAACCTCTGAACACAGCGCGCACTATACATGCTCAGGCAGCTTGAACGTGCGCGCGCTCGCTCGCTTGGTGGCGCGTCGAAGCGCGCACGATCTTTTCATAGACGCCTTGACAGCAGGGCCTCGTTCAGCGAGGCGTCGTGCAATTACGTGGGCGATCAGCCATTGGCTTCGTGAAGCCTTCCTTCTGCAGCTCGACTAATTCGGCACGACGTTTTAATGAGTCGCGCTTTCGCCCTCGATCAGGCTTCGCGCAGGCGTGCCTGACGATATGTGCAGTGTATACAGTGCGCCTCGATTCTATGTATAGCGTCCCTCTCGTGAGGCGGTGGCCTCCTCCGCTGTCTAGCGACTCGCCTAAAGCGTTTGACGTGCCTTGGCGTGTTCGTTGCACGCCGAAGGGCGCCCGCACATCCGGCCGTCCCCCACTCGATGCAGATATGCATGGGCCACCACGAGTTGTAGGTTTTCGACTCCGTGCCTGCTGCACTCTCCTTGTGTGCTATGTTCGCGCTACAGATTTCGACCTTCAAGTGGCTTGATGGACGTCTGTCTCGTCCAGTGCCTGCCGCTTGTGACAGGCCAGACAAGGTTCTCGTAAGTATTTAAACGAGCTGTACTGGCAAGCTCTTGTTTCGTGCTATTGGCCTCTGTATATAAGGTGGGAGGGTGGGTGGAGGAGCTTGCGTTGGCATGCACGCGCGCGCGCGCAATCATGGTGGCCTTCTGTACTGCTTTGGGCAGTTCCTGTGGCATGGAACACTGAACTCTTTTTGTTGTTAATGTTGTTGTTGTTGTTGTTGTTGTTGTTGTTGTTGTTGTTGTTGTTGTTGTTGTTGTTGTTGTTGTTGTTGTTGTTGTTGTGGGAAAGAAGTGGTCGTGAGCAACATACTATCTACAACTAAAAAGAAAGCCTATTGAATCTCATTCTCCCAAACTTTAGTTCACAGGATTATACGAGAGACTATAAGTGACACCATACGTATGTGTCCTACTTAATTATCGCTAATATGTAGCCTATGGATACATTGCATTATCTGACGAATTACAAGTTGTGCTCTTGGCATCCAGATCGATTCATTATGCCCTATAACGCCTATCGCTCTCTTGAGAAGGAAGCTGCTTTCACTTCATTTATGCTCTCATCATCTCTGATCTGATGGTCATTGCGTGCTTTCGCAAAAGTGAATGATGGCGAGGAGTATTTGTTCGGATGACGCAAGCCTATAAAATGTTCATCCCTAGATTTTATAACCGTCGCATCTTGGCTTTGTTGGATCACATTCGTCGGGTACAACTCTAGAAGCCTTCCGTGCCTGAAGTTTGTGTGTGCTTATTTTGTGTCACAAAACGATTTCGTGGGGGAATAGTTCCGGAAAGTATGTTCAATCTTCATTGTCAGTAACTTCCACTGCAACGAAGCTCAAGGTAGATGTTATGTGCATAGACGGCTTGCACTGACGTCGCTAAAACCATCATGTTGCAGTACAGACATGGTAGGATGCGAAGTTTGTGATGTGGCGTTGATGTTGTGATGTGGCGTTGATGTGATGTGGCGGTGATGTTAACTTAACGAGATACGCCGCGTGTGACGTACTGCAGTACGTCACACGCGGCGTATCTCGTTAAGTTCATGCACAGAGGTCAATAACACTTCACAGGTGTGACGTCCTGACATCGAGCCAGGTTTATCGCTGTGAGATTACGCGGCTGTGATGTACTCAAAGCCGCCTTATGGAGCACCAGTATACGTCAAGAACCTACGTTTATTTCTTCACGTTGGAGCTGTTAAAAAACGACTATCGCCTCAAAGAATGGTTACGCAAACTTTCAATGAAATGTCAAAGTTAGTCAGTCGTCCCGTGAAAAAGCTTTGCAACCGCTGTATATGAACCGCTGTTTTATCAGGGTGTACTGTCCATACATAATGACTGTATATTTTATATATTAAGTCACGAACGTAGTGGCCTGGGTTCAGGCTGCTAATTATTGGTAAGTTACAGAGGAGCAGGGCAAACAAAAGAAACCAAATGATATACCCCTTGACCTTGAGTGTCTTTCTGCGCTGTAGTTTTGTAAGAATAATTTGTAAAAAGCTCAAGCAGCCAGATTAGTGTCGTTTAACTACATTTCCCCATCTGCTTACCGAAATCAGCCTCTCCCGAGATCTGAGGCAGCTGTTTCCAGCCTTTTCCCTTTCCCGACAGGCGCATGTTCCCCGCCTACAAGGTCCGAGTGTCCGGCCTGGACAAGAAGTCCAAGTACATCCTCCTCATGGACATTGTGGCCGCTGACGACTGTCGGTACAAGTTTCACAACAGCCGGTGGATGATCGCCGGCAAAGCCGACCCCGAGATGCCCAAGCGGATGTACATTCACCCGGATTCGCCGTCTACGGGTGAACAGTGGATGCAGAAAGTGGTTTCCTTCCACAAGCTCAAGCTCACCAACAACATCTCCGACAAGCACGGCTTTGTGAGTATGCCCATTTCTCTTTCTTTAATAGAGCTGGGGTAGCTTCAGCACGTAACTGTATAGTTTATTATATATAGTCGGGTACATCGTGAGAAATCTGGAGAGGCTTAGTACTGAAGACTGAAAAGAGGCATACCATCGCCTCCGTGACTGAACAAATAATCCTCCGCATGCGCACGGCAATGTTCTTCGAAGGCGGGGTCACTATCCGCCTGGCTCGTGACGTCAGTCTGTAGTGCGCGTCCAGTGGGACAGATTTGTGGGCATCAGCCTTTGTGGAGGAAATTTCGCCGTAGACTTATAAAGTTCTACCCGACTACAGGAAACAGGTGACTTACTAAACCAGAACTATGTGACGTGTACGCGGTGCGGCACCTCCCTATTTATTTCGCCCTCTGCGCTTTTCGCTATGTTCATCGAGTAGCATCAAGTTTACGCCTTTAAGTTTTTTTGCTATGAATAAATCGGCGGCACTTACATGGCCCGCAAGAGTTCCGTACACTACGTGCTGTTGAATGACTGCGACGTGTAGCTGCGTCCTCCCTCCTCTCTGAAAGTCTGATATCTTTGCCTTGATTCGATTCATGCAAACGCCTGGTTAAAATTACCTTCTGGGTTTCAGTGAGCCCGTCTGGCTGTTCTTAAAGACCGAATCATCGTGCCTTCTATAAAGGTGAACCAGAGTACCTGCTGTGGAGTGAATCAGGAAAGAAAGTTGCCCGACGTACATTTCACTCGACCAATGCAGAGATGCGCAATGATTGCCAGGATCGTTACCAAGTTAACCCAACAGAACGGAGCCAGAGTGTTGTCCCATCGGCGAAGCAAAACTGCGTGCTCGTAACTGGAAATTTTCCTCGAGGATATGGTGCGCCAGGTTATAACGAGGTGAATCGCCAAAATGTTGCTTCAGTTTCACTGTACGTCCTTGTTCATTGGACGACGACAACCCTATTTATAGCATTCGTGCTCAGACGTGTGTATTCATACGTATCATACGATCCTAAACTGCATATGCATGTCCGCAAAACAAAATGTCGGTCACGTATGCCTGCCCGTTCGTGGCGAGGAACAGAACAGGCCGAAATACACGAGAAGGACCAAAAGTCTCCTCCGTGCGTTTTTTCTATATGTACACGTATGCATCAGCGCCTAAGCTATTTGTATGGCATGCTCGTGGGATTCTCGGTTCCGCTCGCTGTTCACCTGGCTCCTTCGAGTTCACGCACACATGACTCGAGTACACAGACGCGTGTACAGTCGAAGGGAATGGATTGAAGCGCTGCTTGTTTGCACGAAACAGAGCATAAAGCGGAGCCGCTGCACTCAGACTGCCCTGGGTACCTCACCCAGTGGCAGGAGGAGAGGAAAGGACACACTGCCTTTATCGTGTATGCGTAAATCTTCTCTTCCTCCTTCAGCTGTGCGTTTGGTGTTGTGCCCGCCTCTCACCGAGTTTGTTTCTGTATTCCAGATGCGCGTCTATCTATCTATCTATCTATCTATCTATCTATCTATCTATCTATCTATCTATCTATCTATCTATCTATCTATCTATCTATCTATATCTATCTATATCTATCTATCTATCTATCTATCTATCTATCTATCTATCTATCTATCTATCTATATCTATATCTATCTATCTATCTATCTATCTATCTATCTATCTATCTATCTATCTATCTATCTATCACATAACTCATCAGTAGCAGCACAGTAGCAGTTGTAGTAGTAGTAATAGTAGTAGTAGTAGTAGTAGTAGTAGTAGTAGTAGTAGTAGTAGTAGTAGTAGTAGTAGTAGCAGTAGTAGTAAGTAGTAGTGGCAGCAGCACCAGCAGCAAATGTATCGTGCTTTATGCAATATAGCTTCCCCGCGAAACTTCGTGAGCTCCCCTTTCGCACCTGTCTCGTACGGGTAGGAAGGGAGGACAGGGCGTTCCTGCATCGTTCACCTTTGTTTTCGCAACTCCTGTGACAGTAGGAGAACAACGTGCGATACTGTAATAACGTGCAGACAATCCGGCACCCGCGAAAACAATTAGGGCGTGCTCGGCATATCGCCTGTTCCTTTCGAAATTTTCGCTGCCGGTACCACAAGTCGCCGGTACCTGTACATTCTCGTATAAGTATGCCAAATACCCTTCCGAAAGTCGGCTGGTTTTCTTGTATACCTTTCAGGCGCCTTCTCAAGACATCCCTACCTTCTCAAATGTCCTCTCTTCGCCACTGCCTCAACCTGTCTCCTCTGAAATAAAAAGGAACATAGTTTTGTCTTGCGCTTACGCCTTCTCTCCCTATGCCTTTTGTTCCCACGAGCTGAGCCGCTGTTTGTCCACCAGATGCGGCCACTTACTTCTCGCAGGATGTTTGAGCTCTTCCGCTGAGTTTTCTCTTCCCGCCGTCCTTTGTTAAGATGCGGCGGCGCGTTTTATGCTCGATGCGCTCCCGATACGGTACGTGTGTGTAGTCGTCTTGAGTTTCTTCGGACCCTTTGCGCAGCGCACTTATGTTTGCCTGCTCATCTGTTGGTGGTGGCTGCGGACCGTGGGAGGTCAGAGGTCCTTCGCAGGGGTCGCTTTCGGAAGCTTTGGGCCTCTCTACGCCGGGGAACGGCTCAGTAATCTGCAGCTGTGTTATAAGGGACGGGTCGTTCAGTATCTGCAAACAGACAAAGCTGCCGCGTATAGCTGTTGTTTTCCCATTCAGACCGACAGGTCGCATGACCTTTAATGCATTAGCTTATGACGGCAAGGCGAATGCGATGTTCTTCGCAGTCAGTTTCATTGTAAACTGTAGATTATATGACCATTCATTGCGTTCGAATGCAAACATTCGAGAATAATCAAGTAAACTTCTCATATGCATGCACCGGCTTGCACTACCCAGTTCACGTCCCGGCTTGCGGAAGCACGCGCACGTGGTCTCACCATGGACCATCGGTTTCCCTTCAGCAGTCGGTGGTCACATGTCCCTTCTTGGCATGACGTTTGGGGGACCCCTCAGTTCTACAAAACACACCAGTTTAACGCACGCCGTCATCTCTCAGCACTTCTGCCTTGACCGACTCGCAAATGGCAAATCATTATAAAAAGATAGTTCTCGGGCCTGCCGACAACACAGTTCCTCACCTGTTGAACTACTCCCCCCCCCCCCTTTCTCTTAAACAAACTAATTCCTTCAGCGACACCCCAAACCTGTCGCAGTGCGCTTCTATTGACTTGTGCCCTGATTAGATAATCTTTTGATGTGTCTCATCTGCTTACATAGCACTGGAGGCTTGGAAAAGAGCTAGAGGTCCCGGATGTACTATCGCACTCAATGCGACTTGTAACAAAGGGGTGCGTGGCCTCACGAGCTCCAAGACAGTTCATGACTTTCTGTAGTGTTTATTTTCGCAACTAAGCGCTTTTCTCCCAGGGTGAGGATGATGCCAAGTAAGCAAACAGCATTAAGTTCTTGAAGTGAGGGCAAATGAAAAGCCATATGCACAATTTACCAGCCTCGTGAAGATTACGTTCTCCCATGCGTCAAGTCGCATCTCGCTTGCAGCAGTGGATGCTTCGTCCTTTTAGACATCTCCAACTCGTGCACGGGACCTTGTTGCTCCGGCGGGTGTCTTCTTTGACAGCAGTGGGGGGACGACTTTTGCGAGGCGACCGTTGTTAGGGTCTTTTGTAACGGCGCGGGCTCTGTTGACACCGTTTTGACGCGGCTTTGCAAGGTTGCTTAAGCGCTCGTTTGCGACATCGGATCTGCGTCAGCGCTAGCGTATGTACATACTTGCCTTACCAAAAATGTGTCGGGTCAATCTCATTCCACAACCGGCAGATATTGCAGCCTGTCGTTATAAATTCAGACTTCGCGCACAAATTGGACCGCCACACCGCGTGTTTTCCTCTGAATCTCTTCCTCTAAAGTTTGCCTTATACTGTTGGTCAGTGCAACCAAACGAATCTACTCGCTATGCGGCATACAACTGATACCTGCACGTACAAAAAAGCCAGGTGTATGTTCACTGCAATGTCTAGTATGCTAAACCACACGCACCATTCTAAACGGCAGAGAGCTCGAGTCTCTCATGAACTTCTAGTACGCAGCTGGGGGACCAAAGGGCCGGTTGTGAAATCAGGTGGCTTCTTCAGCGAAGTTCGAGGAGTATGGCTCGAACTCCACCATCTCAACCGGCACACCGTAGGCACCGTGCACGTGATGCAGGCAGGCCTGCTCATCGCCGCTTTCCTTTTCCGCGGCGCACTTCTCCCGTCTACATCACGAAAGCCACTCTCCCCGAAAGGGTTGTCTGTAGCACTCACGTGCAGGAGGTGGCTTTGAGCCGCGCAGAAAGACCCCCTACGACGAAGACGACAAATGGTGCGCTGTGTGTGCCCGGACGGCCGCTTGGTGCCAGCACTCATCACTGCGACGAGGCCACGTGACCCCCTGCTCTCGTATAATGCAAAACAGGGACCGACGCGAGATGTTTGCTGGCGCTGCATGCGGCACGAGCCGTGTACGACTTTATAATGCTAGCTCTTTCATGCACGAGAGGTTTTGAGTGTGCGTGTGTGAGGCCTTTGAAGTGCAGGAGCGCGCTTGACTCGACGGTTTGCCCCGGCTTTTCGACGTTTCGGCTTTGGTGTTCGATACCCCTGCACCTGTTGCCTGTAGCAGTTGTACTAGAGGGGAAGTGGAAGAATGGATTTTCTTTCTTTCACTCTATATCTATATGTTCCATAATCGAACGCAGGTGACAGCGGACGTTAGCAGGTCAGTTCGGCACTTGTTGGTGGATTTCTTTTTCTTTTTGTAGTTAGCTATACCTGGCCTTACAAGCGCAGTTTTCGGCTCACTGAGGCGTTTTATCTTGGTCGGGCTGGTGGAGTACAGTCGAGGGTGTTTAGGTATGAACCAGGGTCAGTTTGTCAGTTGTCAGGGCATTGTGAGGACGGTATTTTGATGGAAGACCACACAGGGTGAGAGCTCTACCGCGTCAACAGCAGGAGTTTGCGCATAGTTGATCGCTCCGGAGGGTCCGGATA